TCCATGTGCCCCTGTAACTCATCCTTCTGCATCCTGGCCACCTTATTTGGAATGGCATTGTTTTATGTAGATGTGGTCAAATATATGAATGAATAACTTAAGAGAGCAGTTCCAAGCACACAGTAATAGTCAAAAATAGTTGAAGGAATCCCCTAGAAGACAAGCCTCCAGGCACACCTATGAGGGACTATTTAGCTTCTGAGCATGCCGATCCAGAACAATGTTGGTTAGGTTAGTTGAGGAGGAAAGGCTGTGGTGGTTTGAATGAGAATGGCCCCCATACGCTCCTATATTTGAGTGTTTGGTTCCCAGTTTGTGGACTATTAAGGAAGAATTTGGAGGTGTGGCCTTGTTAGAGGAGGTGTGTCACTGGGAGTGGACTTTGAGGTTTCAAAAGCCAAACAAGACCCAGCCCTGTGTAGCACAAACCTTAAAAGGTCTTATTAATAAAAACAAACCCAGAGCCAGGTATTGGGGTGAACGCTGAAAGATCAGAGAAACAGAACAAACCACATCCAACTTCACCTCGCCAATTCCTCAGCTGATCTCGTTTCCCCAGACTGGAAGCCTCTGAGTTCTCACCCAAATGGATCTCAGCTGAGCTGCTGCTAAAAGCTGAAAGCTTTAAAAAGGCTCTAGTTTCTGGTCCTCATGCCTTATATCCCTTTCTGCTTCCTGCCATCACTTCCTGGGATTAAAGACTTGGGTCATCATGCCTGGCTGTTTCCAGTGTGACTTTGAACTCACAGAGATCCAGGCAGATCTCTGCCTCCAGAACGCTAGGATTAAAGGCGTGTGCTACCACTGTCTAACCCTATGTTTAATATAGTGGCTGTTCTGTCTCTGACACCTAGATAAGTTTACTAGGGTGCACAATATATTGGGGAACACAGTATCACCACAGTCCTGCTCTCTGCCTGCAACTTTCAGACTAGCTTTTAGCTCCTGCTCCAGTGCCATGCCTGTCTGCCTGCCCATGCTCCCCACCATTGTGGTCATGGACTAATTCTCTGAAACTGTAAGCAAGCCCCCAGTTAAATGCTAACTTTTAAAAATTGCCTTGGTCATTGTTTTGTCACAGTGAAAGTTGGCAGTAACTAAGACAGAACTTGGTACCAGGAGTGGGATACTGCTGTGACAGGCCTGGTCATGTCGTCTGTTGGAAGAATATGGAAGACCTTAGGGCTTTGGACTGGAAAAGTGGTTGAACGCTGTTAATTAATTAATAGGGATTAATCTATCCTAGTAGAAGCATGGAAGACAGTAGTGCTGAGAGCAAAGTGAACTGTGGAGGTCCAGCTCAAGAGCTTTCAGAGGGGATGAATATTGGAGACCATTCTTGTGACACTTGGGGAAAGAACATGCCTGCTTTTTGCCCTTGCCCAGAAAAATCTGCCTGAAGCTAATTGAAGAGTTTTGGACTAATGCTATTGGCAGGGGAGATTTCAAGATAGCCTGTTTTTTGTTGTGGTGGTGGTGGTGGTGGTAGTGGTTTTTGTTTTTGAGACGGTTTCTCTGTGTAACCTTGGCTATCCTGTAGACCAGGATGGCCTTGAACTCACAGAGATCCACTTGCCTCTGCCTTCCAAGTACTGGGATTAAAGGTGTGCACCACCACTGCCCAGCAAGACAGTCTAGTATTGACTGTGTCTTGTGGCTATTAGTAATCATGCTTATGCAGAACTGCAATGAAAAGAGTAAGTGGGGCAGAAAGATAGATAAAACGTACAGTTTGAAGAAAAAAAAGAACACCAGGAAAGGTAAAGCTGGAGCTAAATCCTGTGCTCAAGTAGATGAGAAATGTAAAGAAAAGCCCATAGCTTCATGGAATGAAGGTGCCCTCAGGGTGAGCTACCACTCTTGTAATCAACTTCTGTCTTAGGTGGGATTATTATTGGGTGACAAAACACCATGACAAGGCAACCTGTAAAAGAAAGCATTTAAATGGGGACTTTCTTCAGTTTCAGAGGGTGAGTCCATGAGTCCATCATGGCAGGGACTGTGACGGCAAGCAGACAGGCGTGGTGCTGGAGAAGTAGTTAGGAGCTCACCTCTGATCCATATGGTATGTTGAAGAGATGGAGGCAGGAGGACTAGGGAAGCAGTCCAAGAGAGAGAAGTGTGTTGCAGTCCGCAAAGCTGAAAGGAATGGGAAATACAAAGAGCCATCTAATAAGCTCTTTGATGGACATTGGGCATGGACAAGTTGGATTTGGAGTTCGCCCTGCTGGTTTTTAGTCTTGCTTTGGTACAGCATTTTCTCATTATGCCCCTTTCTCCGTTTTGGCATGATAATATGCGTTCTATGTTGGGAGTATGTTACGTGCTTTTTTTTTTTAAATAGGGGCTTAGAGTTAAGAGATTGCTTTGAGTCTCAGAAGAGATTTTGGACTGTTAAACCATGTTGAGACTATGAAGGACTATGGGGACTTTAGAAGTTGGACTAAATACATTTTGCATTATGGTATGACAAGAGTCTATGGGGGCCAGGGAGTGGTTTGAATGAGAATGGCCCCCATAGGCTTATATATTTGAATGTTTGGTTCCCAACTGGTGGACTATTTAGGAAGGATCAGGAGGTGTGAGTGTACTGGTTTGTTTTGTGTGTCAACTTGACACAAGCTAGAGTCATCACAGAGGAAGGAGCCTCAGTTGAGGAAATACCTTCATGAGATCCAGCTGTAAGGCCTTTTCTCAACTAGTGATCAATGGGGGAGGGCCCAGCCCATTGTGGGTCCTGAGTTCTATAAGAAAGCAGGCTGAGTAAGCCATGTGAAGCAAGCCAGTAAGCAGCACCCCTTCATGGGCTCTGCATCAGCTTCTGCCTCCAGGATCCACCCTGTTTGAGTTCCTGTTCTGACTTCCTTTGGTGATGATTAGCAATGTGTAAGTGTAAGCTGAATAAACCCTTTCCTCCCCAACTTGCTGGAGTAGTTGTGTCCAGGGGTGAGCTTTAAGGTTTCAAAAGCCCAAGCCAGGTCCAGTCCCCCTCCCCCATCACACACACTTTGCCTGCAACTTTCAGATCAGATGTGAGCTAGCAGCTACTACTCCAGTGCTCTGCCTGCCACCACAGGCTCCACCACGGTCATACACCCACCCTCGGAAACTGTAAGCAAGCCCCCAATTAAATGCTTTCTTTTAAAAGTTGCCTTGGCCAGGCATGGTGGCACATGCCTTTAATCCCAGCACTCGGGAGGTAGAGGCAGGTGGATTTCCAAGTTCAAGGCCAACCTGGTCTACAGAGTGAGTTCCAGGACAACCAGGGTTAGAGAGAGGAGCCCTTTCTCAAAAAAAACAAAAACCAAAACAAAAGGAAAGTTGCCTTGGTCATGACATTTTGTCACAGTGGTTCCCTAACTAAGACCAAGACCAACAGTAAGAACGGGCGGTACCATCCCCTGGGCTTGCGTTTCAGACGCCATGAACAGGAGAAAACTAGCTGAGCACAAGCATTTACTCATTGCTTTCTGCTTCTGCCACCATGATGGACTGTGTCTTGAACTATGAGCCAAAACAAATCCTACCTCTCAAAAAATAAACACAATCGTTTAAGAGGCTGGAGAGATGGTTCAGTGGTTAACAGCACTCAAATGCTCTTCTTGGGAACTCAGGTTCAATTCCCAGCACCCACATGGTAGCTCACAACCATATATAACTCCAGTTCCAGGGATCCGACACCCTATTCTGACCTTCCTGGAGCACCTGGCACACAAATGATGCACAGATGTACATGCAGGCAAACACCCATACATACATAAAAATTTTAAGTTAAAAAATATTTAAGCCACTATCATTTTACATTTCATTCAAACTGAACAGTATCCTCCTCAGCACTAGGTACTGATGAACCAGCCTGCCTCCATCTTAGACTTGAAAGCCATTTTATAGTAAAGACAACTAGGCTTATTCCTGTTTATGATTAAACCTCTATTTCTCAAGGATTGGGCTATGCGCCACCTGTAACCTTAACTACAAATGGTTCTGTACTGCCTGTTCCAGGAAATGGCAACCATGTCTCTGTTTCAAAAGGTTATATGACCACCTGTGACAACCTGTGGTCATGACTACCTTGTTATGACCACCTTGCGACCATATCTTTGTTTCAGGAGGTCATTATAACTAACTTGGCATGCTTATGTTCTGCTTCTGTAACCCTGCCTATTCGTCTGCCAAATCCCCCATTTGGGCTATGAAAGCTTTGTCTTCCTCACATCCAACCCAATGCTGATCTCTTGAATCTCGACTTTAGGGGGAGACAGCCTATGGACATGAATAAAAAAGCTTGCTTTAATTAGTTGCTTGCTTTAGTTAATTTGGCTGTGATGATTCAGGTCAGTGGTCTTTCTCCTTGCATCTTTGGGATTAACGGTATTATACTGGAAAACCAAGACAAGCATAAGTGAAACTTTTAAATATGTTCAGGAATAAATTAACTTTTTTCTAAGTGTTATGGAGGGCTGTTATCTGGGCATGACGTGATCACTGCCATGTAGAGATCAGAGCAGGCATGACTACTTCACAGGACCCTCATAAGACTGGGCCCACTAACATTTCCTGGAGGAAGGGGAGGAGGCCTCATGAGACAGCACACAGGACACAGAAACAATTGCTGGGGGAGCGCGGGGGGGGGGGGGGGGGCTCTCCTTCCACAGTACAGCTGCCTGTAAGCTGCCCATGCTTCTGTGAGTAAGCCTATTTCTACTCATCTGTTCGCCAAGCTAGCATGGGATAGAACAGTAGTTTTGGTCTGTTGTTAGCAAACATTTTGTGATGAATAGATCATGCACCCTTGAGATAACGATCCCCTAATAAAATGATCTATAAGTGCAAAGACACTAAAAGTACAGTTAATTCCTTGGTTTCCTACCCCTGTGGTGCTGGGATTGAAGAACCCAAGACTTTACATGTATTAGTCCTTATTGAAGACGACAGTGTATACATATGCACATGTCAGGATAGTACTTCAAACCTTCCCGTAAGCGTTCAACAGTCTCCCACACTTTTATAATTGCTTTATTACAGAGGAACATCAGAGTGAAATTTTGAAATAAATAAATTTTTCTATGGTTAAATAGAGAAAATATATTCAGAGAGTATAATATACATTAATTTGTGGTACTTCTCCAAATATCACCGACATACAAATTATTTTGTAAAGTTGTTTCTCACATAAAGGATTTAAAATGCAAAAAATATGGAAGTCTATATTGGAAATTAATAGTAGCAACATGGCTCCAAATACTGAAAATGTAAGACATGTTTCTTAGGTATTTCAGGCATAAATATTAGCTGTAAGGGCTGACAGTGTGTTTCAGTAATGTGATCCAACAAAGAAAATCTGTAAACATATCTCCTATGACAATCATATGCAAGCCTTTTAATCACAAATCTACCAAAACCCTCTGAAATGTAAACCTCAAACACATTTTAAAAGAAATTCTAAGTTATAACAACTACAAAAGCAATAATTGTCAACAAACTTATTTGGTTTTTGAAATGTAGAGTAGCATAATGTAAAGTCACATACCTCACCTCAAAGCTGTTTTTATGAAATCTTTTTCTTTTTCTTCTCTCTCTCTCTCTCTCTCTCTCTCTGTATTGGGTCTCTATGTTTCCCAGGCTGGTGTCAAGTACCTGCCTTGGCTTCCTGAGTGCTGGGAATACAGGCATGTACGTGTGCTACATGTCTGGCTTGAAGGTATAGCTTTGAACATGAAGTTTTTGCATACATTTGTGTGTGTGAGTGTGTGTGTGTGTGTGTGTGTGCGCGCACACACACATGCTATAGTACAAGTGTGGAAGTCAGACAGTTTGCAGGAGTCAGTTCTCTTCTACCTTTCAGTGGGTTCAGAAACTGAACTCAGATTGTCCAGCCTGCACTCAGGTTGCCAGGTTTGGGTGGTGAGTGGATTTCCTCACTAAGCCATCTTATTAGCTAGTACTTCTTAATATAATGTACTAAGTGTTTAATTCTTTTTTAAAAAAGACTGTATATAATTAGGATATTGAACTAGAGCTCTAAAAAGAAAAAATGCAGATGAAAATAGCTATATAGAAATAATGGTATAAATATGAATTTATACAAAATGTACTATACTTCAAATATGTAAGGCTTAATATGAATATTTGTGGATTCTGAGTGTTCCACATCATAATTTTTAGAGTAGTCTCAAATCATTCAAAATCTAGTACTTCTAAAATGATTTCACTTTTTAAAAAAAGCATTTATTTATTTATTTATTTTTAGACAGGGTCTCATGTTGCCCAGTCCATGCTGGTTTTGACCCTCCTACCTCATCTCCCAAGTGCTGGGATTACAGGCATGTGTCACCAACACCTGGCTTTGTTTTCATATTTTAAGCAAACATTTATATCATTTCATGTCAACTGGCCTATGCTGTTGTATTCAAAAAACAATGACATGCTCTTTGAGTTATCTTTTAAATATCTTTTAACTATCTTTTAAACAGTTATGGAATCTCTATGTAAATTTTATCTTTTGAGATTTGAGAATACTGTAATTTGAACTAGTACCTACCAAGAATTGGCCCAAGCTTAATCAAAAGTCACAAGAAAGAAGACACAGATGTCATAAGTTTAAGTTTAGCCTATGCAATTCCATATAGTCACAATTACTTTTTATGTGGAAAGTGCTTTAGAGTAAAACATATTTTTGTAAAGGACATTACTGATAATATTTAATATCTAAGGAGAATTTTTGTATTGGTTCCATTTTCCTATTTCCTTTGGGAAGTACCCCCTTGCCGCAAGGTGAACAAAATACAGCCTAATGGTAACACTGCAGACATAGTGATTTGTGGATAAGCCCTTACATTGAGGTCAAATATTTAGTCGTCAGAGTTAGGGCGATTTTATTCCCTCCATATGCCCAAAGTGACTATCACCAGTTCACATTTCTATAAGCCTTGAAGAATTTTAACCACAACCGGGTCTACTAACTTATAGCAGAGCCCTGGAGCTCTTCGAGACGTTGCTGTTCACCAACTGTTTTTAGGATGATAATTCCGAGATCGGGAATGTGACCAGAAATGAGAATGCTTTGCTGTCTGTGTCTTAGTTCCGGAGCTGGTGTACCCTCTGGGGGACTTGCATGGCGATCTTGCTAGGGAGTCACAGTGTCGTCCGTGTGATCTTGATTTTGCCCCTGAGCCAATCTGCTTTTGAGGTGAGCGTGACTGTGATTTTTCCATTGACTTGGACCTTTTTGGTAAGGACTTGGATCTTGACCTTCCTCTAGATCCAGAACTCCTTCTTGGTGTTCTTGACTGCCTTGATGAGGTAGACTGCCTTGGTAGTGATTTGGAGCGAGATTTAGACTGACTATAAGAAGACCGCCTGTGTCGAGACCTGAAAGCATGTGTGACATTAGAGCATGTACTTTATATAAGACAACAGGTTAAGAGACAGTACTTCCGGGCATGCTTTATATTGCACTAAATATGTGAGATGGTTTGAATATGAAATATACCCCCAACAGGCGCTGTCAAGATGGCTCAGTGGTTAAAAGCACTTGCTGCTCTTCCAGAGGATCTGGGTTCAATTCCTAGCACCCACATGCTCAGTCACACACAACTGTTTGTAACTGCAGTTCCAGGGGATCTGGAACCTTCTGTCCTCTGAAAGTATTGCATACGTGTGAGGCACAGACATACGTGCAAGTGAAAGACCCACACTGGCAAAATGAAAAAGAAAAGCAAAAGAAAATATCCTCCCCAGACTCAAGTATTAGGAGCCTGGTTGCCAGCCAGTGGATTCTGAGGGTTCTGACCTTATCAGTGGGTTAGTCACTTGATGAACTCATAGTGTATGGCATCATCAGGAGGAGGTGTAAGGTAGGAGGTGAGGCCTTCTTGGAAGTAGTGGATCACTGGGGGTGCTTTTAAAGCGCTCTCTGTCTCTCTCTCCTCTCTCTCTCTCCCCTCTCTCTTTCTAAGTCTTTTATAACAGGGTTTCTCTGTGTAGCCCTGGCTGTCCTGGAACTCACTTTGTAGACCAGACTGGCCTCGAATTCAGGGATCCACCTGCCTCTGCCTTCCAAGTGTGGGGATTAAAAGCGTGTGCCGCCACTGCCTGGCAGCAACTGTTTCTTATCACCTGTTCTTTCCTCCAGGCTTACTGTTTGCCATGAATTGAGCAGCTTGCACCATAAGGCCCCTGGGCACGATAGTCTGCCTCACCTCAGGCCCACAGCAATGGACCTAGCCTCCCATGGGCTGGATCGTCTGAAACTCTGAGCAAGATAAATCTTTCCTCCCTAAGTTCTTCTTGGAGATGTTTGTTATAATGATGGGAAATCTGATTAACACATTATGTTTTAATAGATTAGTGATAAGACACTTTTTTTTGGCAGCACTGGAGCTAGAACCCAGGGCTGTTGTGGAATATTAATTTAAGATGTGTTACATTTGTTTTTTGTTTTTTTTTTTTTTTTGGTTTTTCGAGACAGGGTTTCTGTGTGTAGTTTTGCGCCTTTCCTGGAACTTGCTTTGGAGACCAGGCTGGCCTCGAACTCACAGAGATCCGCCTGGCTCTGCCTGTGTTACATTTGTTTATGCTCTGGAACATTTGTTTAATGATGCAGAGATGTGTTGCATTCTTGTATGTTGCATTTGTTTAACTCTGTGAAGCTGTGTGACTTTGCCTGTCTAAAACACCAGATTGGTCTAATAAAGAGCTGAACGGCCAATAGCTAGGCAGGAGAGAGAAATAGGTGGGGCTGGTAGGCAGAGAGAATAAATATGAGGAGGAATCTAGGGAAGGGAGTGAGCAGTGAGAAAAGGAGAAGGAGAGGAGGACGCCAGGGGCAAACCACCCAGCCACCCAGCCACCCAGCTGGTCACGGAGTAAGAGGGAAAGCAAGACATATAGAATAAAGAAAGGTTAAAAAGCCCAGAGGCAAACAGTAATTAAAGAGAAATGGGATAATTTAAGTTAGAAAAGCTGGCTAGAAATAAGCCAAGCTAAGGCTGGGCATTCATAAGTAAGAATAAGTCTCTGTGTATTTATCAGGGAGCTGGGTGGCATGCCCCTAAAGAGTAAAAAAATGAAAAAAAAATCCAGCTACACGGGGCCTTGTGTTTGCTAGGTGAATACACCAAACCACACCTCCAGTCCTGAAAGAAATAATTCTAATTTTATCACTCATGCTTTTGGCTCAAACATAAGTAACAAGTCTGCAATATCTGTTATACTATAATATATGTTCAAAACATTTTTACTTTGTGACCCTATGCAAAAAGTCCTATAAATTTAGATTGGGTTAAGCATTCTCTCTCTCTCTGTCTCTCTCTGTCTCTCTCTCTCTGTCTCTCTCTCTCTGTCTCTCTCTCTCTCTCTCTCTCTCTCTCTCTCTCTCTCTCTCTCTCTCTCTCTGTCTCTCTGTCTCTCTCTCTCTCCGAGACAGGGTCTTGCTGTACAATCCAGCCAATCTCAGTTTTGTGATTATCCTGTCCAACCTCACAAGTGTTGGAATTAAAGACATGCACCCAGCACCCAGCTGGGTTAAATAACTGTTAACAGGCATAAAAATCAGAAGAAAAAACCTTGCAAATAGGGAAAGAAAGAAAACAATTATTTCAAGTTCATAAACAATGCTTGTAAAAGCAAAACCTGCTATATGAGCTAGCATGATGGTAAATGCCTATTATCCCAGCTTTCCAAGAGGCTGAGGCAGGAGGGTCTCAAGTTCCAGGCCAGCCTTGGCTACACAGCGATACTCTCTATCAAAAGAAAAGCAAAACCCTCCTCACAACATTTATAATCTGAAAGCATTAGAGAATAATCAAAATAAACAAAACTCGAGTTACAAGCCTCAAGAGTTCAAAGCTATCAAAATGGCTGGGACTTAAGAGACAAAATTCCCAGAGATGAGGGCATTGCAGACCCAAAACTCCTAAAATCTGCCTCAAATTCTGCGGAAGTAAAAGGCTGTCTTTATTTTTAATTGTGAGTGGGGGAGGCAGGGCGTATGTGCATGTGTTGGAGTGGGGGTGGGGGAGCGGTGGCACCCATGTGTGAGCATGCAGAGACTAAAGGAGAACGTCAGGTGGCTTTGTCTATTACTCAGTGGTAATTCGCTTCTTTAAATTATTTTTAATTAATTAATTTATATATATATAAATTATATATATATATATATATATATATATATTTTTTTTTTTTTTTTGAGACAGTGTTTCTCTGTGTAGCTTTGGAGCCTGTCCTGGAACACACTCTGTAGACCAGGCTGGGCTCGAACTCACAGAGATCCACCTGCCTCTGCCTCCAGAGTGCTGGGATCAAAGGCATGCGCCACCACACCCAGCTTGACACTGGGTGTCTTACTCTATGGCTTTCCACTTTATTTTTGAGACAGGGTCTGTTGCTGAATCCAGCTCTCACTAATTGGCTAAACGGGCTGGCCAGCTAGCTCCAGGGAAATGCCTGTTTCTGCTTCCTCTAGTGCTGGGGCTGCAGACACGTGCCATGATGTCCAGCTTTGGCTTGGTGCTGGGGGTCCAAGCTCAGACTCTCATGCTTGCATGCGGGCGCTTTACCAACTGAGCCTCCTCCCTAACTCCACAGTGCAGGTGCACTGGTTTTCTTGCTCTTTTCTCTTTCTTTGCTTGTTTGCTTGTTTTTTCAGCCTGGCACACATGTGCCCTGGCTAGTCTGGCACTCTTTGTGTAGCTGAGGGTGGCCTCAGATTCCAGAGCCTCCTCCTCCACCTTTCAATTATCACCACATCTAGGTATTCGGATCATACTTTAAGATTAGAATTCACTTTAAAATTCCACAGTGAAAAAGTTAAAGCATTAAACCATAAATGTTTAAGAGAATTTGGGCTTGACAATCCAGTTTCAATAGTATCAACATTTAATTTCCACCGTGGTTTACTATGTTCTAATAAAATAGATACAGATCCCTAAGTAGAAAAACAGGTTACTTGTGAATGTCTCTTCTTAACAAACTTACTATTTTCTTGTCTCCTTTCTATAATATGGGCATAGCTGGAATTGATTCTTAATAATAATACATTATCAATTTATAAGAATAAATTGTGCTTGGGAGGCAGAGGCAGGCTGATCTCTGAGTTCAAGACCATCCTGGTCTACAGATGGAGTTCCAGGACAGCAGGGATATACAGAGAAACTCGGTTTTGAAAAGCAAAACAAACAAACAAAGAATAAATTGTTGTATTTTAGTCAACTTCCTTTCTTTAATAAACAACTGTAGTACAGTTTTTCAGTTTACTCCTTTTCAAAAGTCAAGATTCTGAATTACTGGGTTCATTTAGGAAATTTTTACTTATCTAAAATTCCTAACCTTGTTTGTTGAGTATATGTTACTTTATGTATTTATTTTTGAGATAAGGTCTTAGTGTGTAGCCCCAGCTGGCCTTGATCCTGGGGCTTAATATCCTGCTTATTCCATTCTTGAGTACTGGGGCTACAGGGCACGTGATGACCACAACATCCCACTTCTGTTTCCCCACTTTGGGGGGTATATATTATCTTTCTTTGTGGGGGAGGAGAGGCTGAAACAGATCTAGACATGCCTGACTTAGCCTGACTGAATTCTAGATCTTCCTGCTTCTGCCTTCCAAATGCTGAGATTCCAGGTATGTGTCACTACGGCCAGTTTCATAGTATCTATTTAAAAAGTTCAAATTAAGTCCAGTCCCCTGACACTTCAAACGATTACTTAAGAGCACTGGAATATATCCAATGAATCCAAGTTGACAACCATATATGAGCTAGGTGTGGTGATGTGTGCCTGTAATCCCAGTACTTGGGAAGATGAGGCAGGAGGATCATCTCAAATTTGAGCCCAGTCTGGGCTAAGGATTATACAGCACCTTTAAAAGGTTAGGAGGCAATGGTGCGCATCTGTAAACCCAGCAATGGGGATGTGGTAGAGTGGAGAAAGTGGATTCCAGGTCACTGGCCAGTCAGTCTAGCCTAAAGGATGAGCTTCAGGTGAAGTGAAAGACCCATTACCAAAACCCAAGGTAGAGAGTGATCAAGAAAGACATAAACCTCTAACCACACACATGCATGCACACCCACATGCATACATGTGCACACACATACATAAGCATGTATTTATAATGCACACAACCAAAATAACAAGAGCCTGTCTAAAGATAAAAAGTTTAAAAAGGAGAGGGTGCTGGGAATATAGCCCCAGTGCCTGTAGAGGTATAGTAGAGTACCTACGAGCATGTGCCAGGTCCTGAGTTCAACCCCACTGTCCAGGAAAACAAGCAGACCCAATACATGATAGAGAAGAGCCTATCTTTCTACAAAAGTTTGTGCATATTAAACAAATCATCATCTAAGTAGCCCAACCCCAGTATTCTTTAAAATGTTTTCCAGAAAACATAGACAATGAAGCCGTGCACGGCTGCTTTCAGAACTCACTCCTTCAGGCTATCTGACCGTCTCCGGTCTCTTCCCCAGGATGAACTTCGACTTCGAGATCTCCTCTGGCTGGGGCTCCTGGATCGCCTGTGGTTACTTGGAGAGCACAGATGGCGTTCTTTGGACTTCATTTGGCCTGGTGCTGGAATATGAAGAACAAGGCTTCTAACGGTTCACTACCTGAAAACCACAGTAGCTGCCACTCAGTCGGTATCACTTTCTGAAGAACTTTAAGTAAAACGCTACTGTTGCTGAGGCCCATTCTGTTCAGTAATCGAGAGCTAATGGTCATTTACACTTACTTTTGCGATCACCTTGTGCAAACTGTATTTCAATTTGCCGGCCACATACCCACTTCCTATTGAGGTTATAAAGGGCATCTTCAGCATCTCGAACATCTTCAAACATGATCAGCTGTTAAGGACACTTTGGACATCAGATGGTAAGTAAAAATATTTCTAGGGTATTATTTACATGTGAAATTAAGTTACAGGAAAACCAAGTTCTGGCTCCAACATAAATAACCAGAAAAGCTTTTGTATTTTACTATGAAAACAAATCCCCTCTTGTGATTTAGAAACATGAATAAAAAAATGGAACAGTAGATACAATAGCAGCATAATTTGAAACATGAGAAAAAATTCATCTCAAATTAGTTGGCATTTTACAATAAACTGTTTAGAGCTTGTCCCCAACCCCCTTTTCAGAGAAAGGATCCATCAGGGTTTTTACTGAAAGTATCAGTGTGCAGAAGCTTTTATTCTGTAAATAAAGGTACTCTATCACTAAAAGTCTAGTGATGAAATTTAGGAGAAATGACTCATAAACAAAACTGCAACAATAAAAGTAAGCTAACCCAAAGGACTACTTTGGTCCTTTGAGAATGGTGCCCACCTTTGAACCTACTACTTTGAACAGTCCCTTAGGTATTACTACTGGGATGTAAGTATGAAATAACAGGAAAACAGTTAGGAAACCTGGGAAATGGCTGAGGTGCCTATTAACATATCAAAGTGGATGCTGGCCACCTTCTTTCAGCTCTGCAAGTACCTGTTACAGAGTCATCCTGACTGGCATACCCTACCCCCTACCCTACCCAGTCTGTCCCCTTCCTTCCTCTCCCCTCTCCTCTCCTCCCCTCCCTTCCCTTCCCCTTCCCCTTCCCCAGCTTTTCTTCCCTCTACAAGACAACTAACTATTTTGGATATATGCTCTCTTGGCCTCTTGGGTCCTAGTTCCTCTCTTGCCCCTCCCCCCATAGTCCAGTTCAGCCTGGGCCCTTCCAGATGCCCCTGGCTGTTTTCTCTCTCATGTCTACAATGAACCTTTTCCTCAGCCATATATAGGAACAGTCGTGTCCTCGTTTTTCATTCAAAAACAATCTGTGACCATCTGGAATCACATATCCTGATTTGAAATGCTCCACTAAATTCCCTCCTCTAAAGCATATGATCCCAAGCCTTACTATAATGGACAATAGCTGTGTAAAATGGAAGTAGCTGTATTTCAGGAGGCTGCTTACTAGCTTGTTCGTTTCTCTCTCTCTCTCTCTCTCTCTCTCTCTCTCTCTCTCTCTCTCTCTCTCTCTCTCTCGACAGGGTCTCATTTTGTAGCTCTGCCTGGCCTAAAGCTCTGTATATAGATCAGGCTGTCCTTGAACCAACAGCGATCCCTCTGCTTCCCAAGCTCTAGGATTAGAGGTCTGAGCTACCTTGTTCCTAGTTTCTTATACTAACAAACAAAAATACACAAAAATGCTCAAAAAATGCACACAAAAGGACACTGGCAACGACCTCAGTGACACTGGGTCTTGAACCTTGAACTTTTCAGAGATGTAGAACCAATAAAATCAGATTTAGCTTTGACTCCAGAACTCTGAATAAATGTAGGAAAGCCGGAAGTCTCAAAGACTATCTGTCTTTTGCTCGATAAAGGCCTCATTCTTCCAGGCTTTACACCCGTGTCCACCCTCCCTCTTTACTCTGCTCCAGCTTAGGTGCCTTTTGTCATGCTAGGCTTATGGTTGGAGTCTAGCTAACAAGCTGGCCCAAACTGGGGGTATGGGGGCACTTGCCAGCTACTGTGGAATGTTTTAGATTTTCTGAGATAAAGAAACACATTTAATTAGACAATGTCGATCTCATAATATACACTCCAAAATACATATAAGCCCATGTATATTTGCATGCACACATAAAATAAAGGATATTGAACATAAGCGAATCCTCGGGGGCGGCGAGTGTAGAAGTCAAGTGGGATGTAAACATCTACTATGGGGCCGTATCGACCAAATTCTCGGCGTAAGTCTTCAGGCCTGGAGTAGTATAGAAATAAGGCAAAGAAATATAAATAGCTGGAATAAACACTTTGCCTACAGAAATCCAATTGAAACTTTCAAAATAAAATGTATTGTTGGGCCAATGAGAGGGCTCAGCTCAATGGGTAAAGGCATACGTAGCTAAGCCTAAAGACCTAAGTTCAAAACCTTAAACCCACATGGTGGAAAGAGAGAACAATCTCCTCTAGCTGAAAGTTTTCTTGTGTCCCGCCTGGCCGGCGGTCAGGACAAATCTCTCTCACCTGTCCGTCCAGCAGCCGCTCAGATCCAAATACACACACACAGGCTAATATTATTCTTAAACTATGGCCATGGCAGGCTTCTTGCTATCTAGCTCTTACATCTTAAATTAACCCATTTCTATTAATCTATAAGTTGCCACATAGCTGTGGCTTACCTGTCTGCTGGCATGTTGTTCCTTCGGTGGTGGCTGGCATCTGCTTTTTCCTCTCCTTTCTCTTCCTGTCTATCTGTTTGGATTTTCCGTCTGCCTCTAAGCTGCCTTGCCATAGGCCAAACGGCTTTATTTTTTAACCAATCAAAGCAACATATTTTTACAGCATACAGAAAGACATTGCCCCATCAATCTCCTGCAAGTTGTCTTTTAATCTTCAAGCATGGAGAGAGAGGCCCACACACAAATAAAAGTAAAAAAAAAATTTTTTTAAGTGTATTGTCTAAACTTCTGTATCTAAAACTGTCTCTTGTAACAATTATCTACATTTCTTTCTTTTTGGGAGTGGTGGATGTGGAAAGGGCCCCAAAGCAGCTTGACCACACAGCTGCCATGACAGGCTTAAAGCCCAGACACAGCTTCTGTGACAGGTTTACTGGCAGGCAACACCCAGACCCAGGAAAAGCCATAAGCTGACCCTACCCAGGGAAAGTACCTGACATCCCAAACATTCCAACCATCAGATAAGGTAGCCAGATGTCCCTGAGTCTAGCACACACCTGTTTTTGTTTTACAGATACCCCTAGACAAATATCAGCTAATCAGGGTCCTGAACCCTGGAAGTCCCCTCACCCCAACCTCTGCTCTGATAAAAACCCTACCCTGCCTGGGCTCTGGGCTCTCTGCTCTCACCCCTGGAGCTTAAAGATAATAAAGGCTCTTTGCTTTTACATATGGGATTCAGGCTCCATGGTGGTCTTTTGGGGGTCCCTGAGATTTGGGCATAACAGGAGAACCAAGTCTTGCTATGTAGACCGGGCTGGCCTTGAACTCACAGTCCTTCTGCCTCAGCCTCCCAAGTGCTAGGATTGCAGGTTGCACCATCATGCCTAGTTTCACCCAAGGTTTTAAAAGGGAAACAAAACAAAACCACTCTCAACCCTTTCTCTCTTGGAGACCCTAATTCAGGGAGTCTGGATTAGGGACCTGGGAGTCTGTATTTTTACAAACATTACAGGTGGTTGTTAAACCCAGCATATCCACCTTTGAAAGTTACTTCCATCACAAGACTTGATAGTTTCATTTAGGAATATATTCACTTGTCTCACTATAACTTCATGTTTATTGGAATTTTGTATTCAGAAAGCAAGAATTAGAATCTAAAGCAGTCTCAGAATTATTTCTTGAACTTTAACAAAAAAAATGTGTATTTTCCCATATAACCCAAAGGAAAATAACTACTTTATTCTTGTATTTGATGGTGTTTTGAGCCTCCTGTATGCCTTCTACCATTATAGGCACAGGGCTTACTTAAAAAAGATAGCAGAGAGAGAGAGAGAGAGAAAGAGAGACAGCCAGGACATTTGGAGGAATCCAGAACAGAGAGAGACAGAAGTAGACTGGACCTGGCCAGGGCTGTCTGCGAGGGAGAGGGATGACCAGCAGGGGACAGAGAATAGAGAACATAGTGAGAGAAGCAGGAGCAGACTACAGAGAGAACATAGCGAGAACAGCAGGATTATAAGGAGAATGAGTAGCTTGGGGGGAGGGAATCTGTGAGCTGGAGGGAATTTGCAGGTGGGGCAATCCTCCTGTAGTCCAGGCTGAGCTCATTTCTGGATATTTGGAATGCTTTTTGGAGTCTGGAGAACTGGAGTTTCCTTTGGACCTGACAATAGCATCATGTCTTTGTGGAGCTACAATTGAACCGGAGGCACAACTTGTCTAGCAGTGCCAGCTGACAGTTACATACACAAGCCGTTCACCTGAAGGTCATTTAATTCTCACAACTCTATGGTTGTTTGCAGACAGGTTAGCCTGTCTGTAACGTCACTGAGCTAGCCAGTGATGGAGACGGAATCACGCACTAGTCTGTTATTAATCACACGGCCTCGGGGAGCTCACAGGGACTCGGCCTTAAGCTTCTTGTTCAAAGCACGGCTCTGAAGAAAGAAGAGTGCTCCGGAAACAATGCAGAGCAGGGAGACTCCAAGGTGACTGCACAGCTCCTGGCTGCAGCGAATGGAAGGAAGTTGTTGTCAGGGATGAAAGTTAGTAGAGAGCTTGATGAAAGAAAGGGGAGACAGAGAGCTTCCTGGTGCAGAGCTGCGGAAGGAGACGTGATGTGTTCACAAAGCCTGTGGGCATGCAAGTGAGATTAACTAACTCCTCTCCAGACTAGATAATAATGTCTGATTTTTTAATTACATTTGAAAATTTTAGTTTCATATTAACGTCTGTTTGTGTGTATGATGTGAGTCCATGAGTCTGGGCAGGCACCTGCCATGCATGCAAAGGTCAGAGACAACTCTTAAAAGTTAATTCTCCTCTTTCATGGTAGGATCTGGGGTTGTCAGGATTGCACATGGAGTGCCTTCTGATAAGCCATCTTGATGGCTAAGGCTAGAGGTGAGGATCTAGGAACTATTACATAAAGATTCAGTTAACATTGACTAGGCATCCACTTTATGCCCAGGCAGTGTCTAGTTTATGATATACTTTATTTAATGTTGCTTGGCTGCCTTCTCAAATAATCTTTTAGTTGGCAATGTTTTTTTTTTTCTTTCACCTCTTCATTCAATAAATCAGAAGGAATGGGTCTTCTGAAAAAACTGGCTTTGGTCCACTTGAATGTCAGTCATCCTACCCACAGCACTGACTAGGAACCATGGGGGTCCCCACCATGAAACCCAGAATGGCCTCAAGACTGAAAACCAAGCATCATTTAACTGGTCCACAACAAGTTGAGGTAACAGCAAGCAAAGATCCAAACACCTACTCAACAAGAGTGAGACCAGAAATCCACACCAAGAAACACCACAATCTTAATCCTGATGCCTCCATCCCATTGCAAAAACACAAACACAATGTACAACCATGACAGCAAGTCTCCTTCAGAAATCAGCACCCCCACTGTAATATTCCCTGAGACAAGCAACTTAGGTGATGCACAAGATTAAGACTTCAAAATAGCAATTATAAATATGTTCAAGGAACTCAAAGGATATGTATAAATCCCTGAAGACCATGAAAAAACAGTTGAATGAAAAGATGAGCACAATTCAAGATATGAAAATAGAAGTTAAAAAAGAGAGAGGATCTTTGAAGAAAAGCCAAAGGGAAATATTTTTTAAAAAAAATTCAGGAAGCCAAACAAAGATCTCAGAGGAAAATATCCCCAAGAGATTGGACCAGAAGAGAGAACATCAAATCTTTAAGACAAGGTAAAAGAAATGGATCACTCAATCAAGAAAATGCTAAATCTAAAACAAAACAACTAAGAGCAAACCCTGTCTTGAAAAACCAAAAAACCAAAACCAAAACAAAACAACTAGGAACAGAACATCCAGGAAATCTGGGACACTATGAAAAGATCAAACCTACAAATCATAGGTATAGAAGATGACGGGAAAAACCAGGTCAAAGGAACAGAAAATATTTTCAATGAAATCATAGATGAAACTCTCCACAATCTAAAGAAGGAGTTGCCTATCAAGGTACAAGAAGTATACATAACACCAAATAGACAAGAAACTCCCCACAACACATGATAACCAAAACACTAAATGTACAGGACTTAAACAAACAAACAAAAAAGAGTATTAAAAGCTGCAAGAGAGAAAGATCAAATCACATATAAATTTCATCAGAATTACAGTAATTTTTTAAGATTTACTTTTATTTTCTGTGTAGAAGTGTTTTACATACATGTATGTGGGTGTATTGCTTGTGTGACTGGTGCTCAGTGAAACCAGAAAAGGGCATCAGATCCCTGGAAGCTGGAGTTACAGATGGTTGTGAGCCATCACATGGTGCTGGGAATCAAACTCAGGTCACCTGGAACAGTAGCCAGTGTTCTTAACTGCTGAGGCATCTCTCTAGACACCAACACACTGACTAGTCAATGGAGACCACCAAACCCAAGAAAGCCTTGGACTGATGTTCTGCAAGTTCTGAAAGACCAGAGATGCCAACCCAGCCTGCTATACTCAGCAAAACTATGAGTTGTAATTAAAGGAGAAATAAAATATTTCATGATAAAAGCAGATTTAAAGCATTTCATTTACATCCACTAAACCAGATCTGCAGAGGAAGTACCTTGGTCTGAAAGGAAGACTAAACACATTCAAGAAGGCACAAGGTCTCAGAAGTCTCAGAAAACAATACCATGGTAACAAAACAAGAACTAATAAACACTTGTAGGCAGAATTTTTGTCGGGACCGCCAGCTCCAAAATGAATGCACAGAGACTTATCATTAATTATAAATGCTCGGCCGGTAGCTCAGGCTTGTTACTAGCTAACTCTTACCACTTAAATTAACCCATTTATATTAATCTACATTCTGCCACATGGCATTATCTCTCTTTCATCTTGCACCTCCTGTTTCCTCCCGTGTCTGGCTGGCAACTCCTCTGACTATGCCTTTCTTCTTCCTAGTGTCCTTAGTCTGGTTCTCCCACCTAACTATATCCTGTCCAGCTATTGGCCAGTCACTTCTTTATTAAACCAATCACAGTGACATATTTTTCCACAGTGTAAATGAATAGTCCACAAACACTGTTCAACAACTTTCAGTATTA